CGACGGTAAATAATTTTCAAGGCCCAAGCACAGTACACACAGCTCTATAAATATAGGTATTTTAGTTACCGTTATTTTACTTGGAATTTGGAAACTTTGTTCACCGTTGGTACCAGGCCACCTTGAGATTGGTCCTTGGCGCCGTCTAGTTAAATTTTTCGATGCTAATGTGCGCATGCCGCGCACGGTGTTTCTATTCTTCAGGGTACCTCGTATATTTTATTTACTCCCCGTTTCTGTTCTTCCATCCCACCAGTCCATGTGGTATTATTCATTTATTACTATCTTATCCCATCAAAATAAAAGAACAAGAAGAGCGTATTATTTGCGTTAATCAGTACCGGCCATATGGGCCTAAGGAGCTACGAGGCATATTTCAGCCCATGAATTACCAAGGCCCACCTGACGCGCGTCGGATCTCCGTGGCGACGACCCGGACCTGGCCAGGCCACATCGGATTCGCGGCGACAAGTCAGGTCAGATCGCAAGAGCGCCACGTAGTGGCTAATTTGTTTCGTTGCTAATTTATTTACGTGAGACAGAAGTATTATTAGCTAGTTCAGATAAACAATATTTTTATGAGAGAATTGACCAGCTCAGCCCCAGCCAGCCAGCCCAGCGAACACGGCGTTGGACCGAACCCCAAAGTAAAAAGCCGAAAGGGCGTGGGGCCCAGTTCGGACGTGCCCCACACGTCGCCACGTGACCGCCCCACGTCGTCTCGATGGCACCGCCGCGCCGCGTGCTCCGCCTCCGCGCTCGGACCTCTATAAACCCTGCCCACTGGACACGGCCGTTCCAGTTTGGACTCTCTACTCCCCACTCCCCGATTCAAGTCAGCGGTTTTAGGGTTGGAGATCTCGGCATCGCGCCGCGGAAGCCATGGCGGTGAGCACTGGGTCTCCCCTCTCCTTGCTTACCTATTGATTACTCGTCTCTTTCGCGAGCTTGTGTGCCGTGGCATTTCCGATCCGGAGGCACCTGCTCGCCGTTTTTTTTTTTAATTTCGTTTTCGGAGCCGGAGAGCTTGGGGGCAGGTTTCCACTTGCGGATTATGCTCCAGTGCTAGCCGCATCTCCCCAGCCTGTCCAAGTAGCAAAGAAACGGGTAACTGTTGGCAAGAAGCGAAAGGGGGAAACTAGAGCGTCTGTGAAACTGGGAAATTGACATGCATCAGATGGTTGTTGGTTATAGTCAAATCTCGTTTATTTTAGTAGACATTGTACCTTGTCAAGTCCTGGAAATGTGGTGTTTGGAGTCATAAATATCTGTTGATGATTTGAAGTGCTTGGTCATGTCATATCACTGTTTGTGCTTGATTTGTCTACCTTGTAGTGTTTAGTTAAAGTATCTTGGGCTTGCTTATGCTCAAAGATTTATGGTGTGTGTGGTTTAACTCCCATTTTATTACTTTTTTTTCCCTCAATGCCTTTTAAGAGGTATCAAGAAAGCGAGGAAAAAAAAAAACTCAGTTGAATATCAAGCTTACCTCTGTATACATAAAATGGGTATAACCTTCTAAGCAAAGTTGGCACAAGTGCGCCTATTAAGTTGATATGCAGTATTTAATTTGTCGAGGTTTAATGTGCTATTGATATGTCATTGTCTAGTAAGTGCAGTAGGTAAAGTTTAATGAACGCGACAAAAAAAGAATAATCAAGGATACATATTTGTCTCCCCACCACCTGCAACACACACACACACACAAACACACACACGAGAAACATGTATGGATATGAGAACATGAAAATCTTTTACTGAAGTGCATTTCTTATTTTAACAATGGAAATAAAGACCTATATTAGCACTCAAATCAGAAGAGGGGGCATGATTGATAATGTGCATGGCTGTACCTGACTATTTTTAGCCATCCAATATATCGTCATATGATATTCATGAGAAAAAGGCCCGGACTATGCCATCCGTCAATTGTAGTTAACTTAAATGAAATGATTTTCTATGCGTGAAGCAGAGATCCATGTTGATGCTGTGTATTATATGAATAAGTTCATACTTATGGGGTATGCTAGTATGTGTTAACTTAATGCATCTGTGCTAGTGTCTAACTGATTTTTCCATTTTATCTTCTTTCTTTCTTTTCTAATTATACTAAAGGAAGGCCTGTTGGGATGGATTATTCTCTTATTTTCTATGGCCCCATAGATCCACAATACCACTTATTAGCTGTTCATTTTCTGCCATTTAACTTTTGTAGACAAGCACACTTAGTACCGTGAAGGTGAGCAATGTATCACTGAAAGCAGCACAGCGTGATATAAAGGAATTCTTTTCCTTTTCTGGCGACATTGTGCATGTTGAAATGCAGAGGTTAGTACCATATATATGGTGTCTATTTTTCACCTTTGTGCTATAACATGTGTTTAACTATATAGTGCTATGCAGTGGCGATGAGCTTTCTCAAGTTGCCTACATTACTTTTAAAGACAATCAAGGAGCTGAGACGGCAATGCTTCTCACGGTATTTCTTTTGTCTCATCTGAAAGTTTTGGAGGCCTCAAAATTTTGTGTATTTTCATGGATTGATGATTTGCTGGCTGTATTATCATGAAAGTATGGTATGCATTTTTTATCGCACTTAATGGGGTAATCATCTGAATTTTATCAGTGTGCCATTGTACTGCAATTTGTTGCCATGATATTCTTAAGTCCCAACCAAAGACTGTATCCCTCTTTCATTGGTTGTTTCATGTGATATCTTTGCCTGCTCATTGAATGTTGCCTTTTACATAGCCAAATGTTCCATCTATTTTTTCAACATTGTGTCTACCTTGACCTATTAGCTGTAGGCCTGTAGCTTGAAAGCCAAGCTGTCTTTGATGTCAAAGAGAAGCTTGTTTGCAAATAGACATCAGGCAAATTCTAACATATGCTTTGATTGCTATTAAAGGGGGCCACAATAGTTGATATGGCTGTAATTGTCACGCCAGCCAATGACTATGAGCTACCAGCTTCTGTTTTAGCTGCTCTTGAGGTATGATTAGAGCCATACCATTTACAAATTACAACATGGTATTGCTGTAGTTACTGTACAGCTTTGTAACATTATTTTCACCTCCAGCCCAAAGACACAAAACCTTCTGCCCTTCAAAAGGCTGAGGACATTGTTGGGACCATGCTGGCAAAGGGATTTATCCTTGGTAGGGATGCACTGGACAAAGCAAAAGCTTTGGATGAGAAGCATCAACTCACGTCAACTGCCACAGCTAGAGTATCTTCCTTTGACAAGAGAATCGGCCTAAGTGAGAAGATCAGTGTTGGTACTTCAGTTGTAAATGATAAAGTGAAGGAAATGGATCAAAAATACCAAGTCTCTGAGAAGACAAAGTCAGCACTGGCAGCTGCTGGACAGGGTGTCTCGACTGCTGGATCTGCTATCATGAAGAACAGGTATGTCCTCACCGGAGCAGCATGGGTAACTGGTGCTTTCAGCAATGTCACCAGTGCAGCCAACGATGTCGGTGCAAAAGCTAAGGAGAAGATAGCAGTTGAGCAGGAGCACAAGAATGCTGAGGCCGGGCCTGCACAAGCAAACATCTCAGAGATCCCTGCAATACACAGGGAATTGGACAACGAATTCACGAAGATACATGTTGCTGAAACCCCTGAAGAAATTCCCATCTCTACGGTGACTGTCCCTGCTGTTACAGATGAGGAGCCCAGCGAGGCCTCTCCACCAGCTGATGTTCCTAAAAAGCCAGAAGCTGCGCAGGGTTTGGTAATATAAGTGATACAGTTTTGCTCCATACATGCATGTAATGTAAATAGACATGAAATGAGGTAGCCACTGAACTCATTCCTAGGTGTTGTGGTTGCCATCTTCAGATTGAAACCTCTTTGAAGGTTGAAAATTATTGGGACCCAAAGGAGTTTGCAATTTGTACCTGGTACGTTTTTATCAATTAATTATTATTACTCGGCAGTGGGAAAATGAAATTTAATGCTTCTGCAGTTGTGCTGTTGTTTCTCCATCTATTGTTTCCTGGTAATTGCTTCTGTTTGAGAGATTATTATGGCTGTTAACGAGGGAGCCTGCACATTTGCGCTCCTTGAAGCAGCAGCGTTTCATCCGGAGGCTGCACATTTGCGTTCCTGAAGCAGCAGCATTTCTGGAACCTGACTGAATTATTTGGACAGTTGGCCTGCCTGTTTGGATGTTGTAGTTTAAAAAAAAAGACCATGGTATCAAAGAAAAAAAAGGACCAATCTCGTATTTGGAGTATCATGCCACTGAGCCTGGAAAGTTGGAACTTAAGACACTGCAGGAATGCCCATGTTCATTTTCTGAAATCTGGTAGCTTGCTGAGTCCGGTAACGATAAGCCCGGCGCCCAGCTCGTTATTTTCGTTCTGCGTTTCTTTACCTTTTCAGCGAAAAGATAGGATTCTGCAACACGTGTGGCCACCTGTCGTGTATAGCTAGCGCTTGCAGCGACGATAATGCCTGAAAATGGTAGGCAAAGTTGGGCCACCGTGCCACACAAAGCCCCAGGCGCCGACGCTTGCAAAGATTAGGATGGCTACATTTACATGTGTTGCCATTTTCATGTTTTCTTTGGAGGTACCCACAGTTGTCAATGAGTATCTTCTCTATTAATATACATGCCCGGCATGTTCTTGGCTTCTTGCCGATGGCTCTTAAAAAAAAAAGAGTTGTCAATGAGTATGGCATTAATATACATGGGCAGGTTCTTGGCAAAAAAAAAAAGTTGTGAATGAGTATGGCAAGGGCAGGGCAAACGAAAGCCACAGGACAGAACTGAATGTTATCAGACGATCAGATTTCTGAACTTCTGATACTACCATTGTGCTTTTGCATTTATTTACTGGCATGGACAAGCTCCATAGAGGTCCGTGTTTATGCTTCGTATTTGAGAAGAAAATATCAAATACATGATTTGTATGAAGAGGGAAACTGGAAATAAAAGTAAATATCTCAAATGTTGTTGCTGCATCGTTAATTTGTTCAGTCGTCTCCCACGATCAGAGCAACCTGACCTTCGCGCTCCCAGCCTTCTTCCCAAAACTCGACATATCTGAAGACCAAAAACAACAGATTGTGAACAAAGATGAAACATGAACACACATGAAAAGCACATGTATGTAGAAAAAAAAAAAACACGCGCGCACGTACCAGAAGGAGAGGGGTCGTGGGAGCAGAGGAAGAGCAGGAGGAAGCAGAGCACGACGATGAGCGGTATGAGGTGCACGGACCGCTCCTTCCCCGACGACCGCGGGGCCGGCGCCTTCTCGGGCTTCGCCTCGACGTCGTCGTCGTCGCCGAGGGCGCCTTCCTCCGGCAGTAGCTTGGGCATCGAAGAGATGCTCAGCTGCCTCTGCATTCTGTCCGGAATCAAGGTCGGTGGCGCCTACGCCTACAAATCACTATCACCTTCTGCAACAAACGAGGAAAACAGCTACCCTGAATTTGGCTACCTTGACTACAAGCCAGGGAAGGTATATGCCCGGTGATGTGCGAGTGTATGTACATGTACATTAATAATAAACTTGGTTATTGTGTGTGTATATATACACGCTTGTAGAACAGTATTATCAAAGGCCTAAGTGAGATTTTTCTTCACGCTTTTCCCATTTTCACGCATGCCTCATGTGCCTCACTTTGCTTTCAGGCACTGCTACCTCGCTTTGCTTCAGTTAACAATAGGTTGGTGCTTTTGAAGACACGGACAGATGTTGTTAATCTGAAGCCTCCCATTTGAACCATCAGAAAACATATTCTGAAGCATTTGCTTTCGTCACTACCACCTCGCGTTGCTTCAGAAATCAGAAGTTCAGTAAACAAAACAGTCTGGTGTGCTTTGAGTACATGGGCAGATCCACTGATGTTTATCTAAAGCCTCCGTCCCTATGGGCCTTTTCATTTTCTGAAGCAAAGACCACGGGGAAACCCAAGTGCTAACCACTGACTTGTACTAACCCAATTGCACGCGTCCGAGTACCAGCGATGGCTGTTCTTCAGCAGTGGCCAAGAACGTCGTCACCAACGTTTCCAACGTGCAAGCAGTGTTCGATGTTTGAGCCTGAGACAAGCACGAGCTAGCTACCCTTGCACTTACAATGTGAATACGCCGGCGAAAGAAAGGAGCAGGATGGCGACTTCCTCTGCGTACGTGCAGGTGCTACGTGGCGGCAACGTGGAGCGAGAGCTGCCGCTGAGTCGCCGCCGCTTAAACAAACGCTTCGTAGGCTCTCGTAGCTCTATAGCTTGCCGCTACTCTCCATTTGACCGGCCGGGATCGCAAGTCGCGAGCTCATAAACACCCTACCTCGCGCGAGCGGCATCAGGTCTCGCGTGTCCGGAGGCCGGAGGGTCCGGTTGGCCACAGGCGTCTCGGTCGCCGGCGGCGCAAGTCAAGACGAGATGGACGCCCGGCGACGTGACTGTCCAGTCCTTCACGTGCCGCAGTTGCCGTTGATCCGTAGCGCTCAGCTATGTACGTGGCTGATTGCTGCTGAAAAGGATCGTGGTACCCAATCTCGTATTTGGAGTATCATGCCACTGAGCCTGGAAAGTTGGAACTTAAGACACTGCAGGAATGCCCATGTTCATTTTCTGAAATCTGGTAGCTTGCCGAGTCCAGTAACGATAAGCCCTGCGCCCAGCTCGTTATTTTCGTTCCGCGTTTCTTTACCTTTTCAGCCAAAAGATAGGATTCTGCAACAGCGTGTGGCCACCTGTCGTGTATAGCTAGCGCTTGCAGCGACGATAATGCCTGAAAATGGTAGGCAAAGTTGGGCCACCGTGCCACACAAAGCCCCAGGCGCCGACGCTTGCAAAGATTAGGATGGCTACATTTACATGTGTTGCCATTTTCATGTTTTCTTTGGAGGTACCCACAGTTGTCAATGAGTATCTTCTCTATTAATATACATGCCCGGCATGTTCTTGGCTTCTTGCCGATGGCTCTTAAAAAAAAAAGAGTTGTCAATGAGTATGGCAAGGGCAGGGCAAACGAAAGCCACAGGACAGAACTGAATGTTATCAGACGATCAGATTTCTGAACTTCTGATACTACCATTGTGCTTTTGCATTTATTTACTGGCATGGACAAGCTCCATAGAGGTCCGTGTTTATGCTTCGTATTTGAGAAGAAAATATCAAATACATGATTTGTATGAAGAGGGAAACTGGAAAATATAAGCTACATGATTCGTATCAAGCGGTGGTGGCACTTCCCGCCGCTCGCAGCACCGTCTCTTTAGATCGGATAGGGTTAGAACCTAGGTGGGGCGTCTGGTGGCTCGGGGGAACCTCGTGCCGTGTGCCCCGGCCCCCACCTCTATTTTATGGTGCTGTGCGACGGGGGACCACCAACCATGGAGCGGTTGGGCGTACCCGATCAGGGCGCGGATCCAAGGGCCCAAGTGGCCGTGGTGGAGATCAAACTAACATTCTCCCACTTGATCACACATTATTCCTTAAACTTAACTTACTTACTTTATATTGTTCCCATTCCATCACATATCAGTGCATAGAGCGTGCCTCATCGTAACGGTCTATTGCCATTAGATTAAACAGCTACAACGCACCTCTCTGTTTTGAAACAGATACTCAACTAAGCCCTTAGTATCAAGAAATCATAGGCTTTTCCACAAACCCATGTAAACTGTGTGTTCTCTGAACGCACTGGGTGGTTAGCCTTTGGTAAGCGGATCTGCAAGTACTTACTCGGTACTTATGTGCTCAATGCTTTCAAAATGATTTTAGATTTTCTCCTTTACAACATATACCTTAGTGTCAATGTGTTTGACAGCACACTTGACTTGTTGTCTTATGAGTTAACTTACTTTAAATGGTTATTGCTGTTGTCTAACATTGTTAAATCCGGGTACATATTCCCTTAACCTCTTTTGCCTGTTCCCAATGCCTCATGACAAACTATGCTAGGGTATGCATCACTGATGACACCACTGAAATGATCAAGATGCCCAAGAGGAGGGGTGAATTTGGCTAATTCTAAAATTCTTTCCAATAATTAAACCCTACACTTAGCCCACTTCACCCCTTATGCCTAGAATGTTATTCTATTAATCTACCGTATAAAAGTTTAGCACCCTAAGTTCCAATCCTACTCTAGCATGTCAATTATAAGAATGTAAAGACAAGGGATGAATTGCTCAAATATAAATGCTTAAAGTAAAGAGAGGAAAAGAAACGCGGCGATGTTTTGCTGAGGTATCGGAGAGTCGTCACTCCCCACTAGTCCTTGTTGGAGCACCCTCGCAAGGGTGTAGCTCCCTCTTGATCAGCGCAAGGATCAAGTGCTCTCTACGGGCTGATTCTTCGACACTCCGTCGCGGTGAATCGCCCACAACCGCTCACAACTTGAGTTGGGTCATCCACAAGCTCCTCCGGATGATCACCAAACTCCCGATCACCATCAAGCCGTCTAGGTGATGGCGATCACCAAGAGTAACAAGCATGAACTCTCACTTGACCACAACAAGCCTAATGAGAATGGTGGATGCACACTTGCTACTCTCCTTGCACTAATGAGGCCTTAATCTTGGATTCTTAAATCTCACTCACCTCACTAGTCTCTTGCTCTCCTAAGCACTCTCAAGGGTGTTTCTCAGCTGAACAAATGGGCAAGAGACCTCCCTTGGATGAATAGAGGAAGTATTTATACCCCCTCATTCAAAACGAACTGTTAGGAGGTTGAGTCAGCACTGACCGGACACGTCCGGTCACAAAAACTGCTCTATGGAACCTTACAGATGTTGACCGGACATTGACACCCAAAGTCCGATCACTTCGCTGTTCAGCGTCCAGTCAGTAACCGGATCCTGACCAGCGTCCGGTCAGCACTAACCGGACGCGTCCGATCAGGAATTTTCCTCTCTGGAACCTCTCTGGAGATGACCGGACTCTGGCACCCAGCGTCCGGTTACATTTCACTCAGCGTTCGGTCGCAACTAGATGGCTCCAGTTGATCAAATGAACTGACCGGACTCACCTTTTAGCATCCGGTCACAACCAGACCTACGTCCGGCTAGTCATTTGACCCTCCATTCACTTCCAACACAAAATCATATGTGAATAAAGTTTGCTCCAATTGATCTTAGGGTTACTCCTGAGCTACCTAGAGCTAGATTTGACAAGTGTGCACCACACCTAACCCACTAGAGTCACCTAGGTCAAGCTACTAGTCCATACCCCCCTTAATAGTATGGCCAAAGGAAAAATAAAGTCCTAAACTACTGTAAGTGTCTCTTCAACATTAAACGACACTTAGAACTAGTCCATCCTTAACCTTGTCGTCCATCCTTTGAAAACCAAAATGATTTCCATCGTAGGGGCATGACAACCATGATTGCCCAATCAATTGCCATTACCATGACATAACTTAATTGCCTCTGCAAAACACACGTTAGTCATAATAATCTCATATTGTCATTAATCACCAAAACCCAACTAGGGGCCTAGATGCTTTCAATCTCCCTCTTTTTGGTGATTGATGACAATACAACCTCGAGTATGTGTAAGAGATGAGGTTTTCAACATGTTTGGTTCATATAAGCTTTTGACAATAAGAGCAAAGGAGTTAGACATGCTTATATAACCCAAGCCAACATGCTGTACTCAATAGATATGAAATAAGCATGAGTACAAGAAATAAAGCTCATTTGAATCGGAGTAAAACCGCGGAAGCAAAGCAAATGAGCATAACCAAATGACATGATATATATATATATATATATATTATGTATTGACTATAACGTTATGGTAAATATCCCCATGTGTTATTAGTAACCCAACTATCGTAAATATGTATTGACATTATCGTAAATTAGTATATAAAATTATCGTAAATGGCGGTGGCTACAGAATAAGTTATTTTGTAGCTGGCTACTGAATATACTCTCCCTATATTTTTATATATATATAGGGAGAGTATATATATATACACACACACGATAATTGGGTTACTAATAACACATGGGGATATTTACCATAACGTTATAGTAAACAACTTAGTAAGGAGTTACTATAATCTCATAAATAGAGAGCACACATGTCACATAAGTATCACAATCACACTTAAGTATCACAATCACACATATGTAGTTCAATGCATGAAAGTAAACATGAATGCATAATGTATCACACATAAAAAGCCAAAAGTAATAAATCATAAGCCCCCTAGATATATCGCTCCTTCTAGATCTAACATACTCGATCCCTCTCCCCCTTTGACGTCAAGCACCAAAACCTAAGGGTCGGTCGGCGGGGTAGGAGCAGACGAGTCGGGCGCTGAGGTGCGGTGAGCGATCTGAAACTATGTAGCATCATCCTTTGATCCAGAGCTTTGAGCTGTCT